TGGGAAACTGCCTGGCATACCCTAAGACAGTGGTCTCCAACCTTTTTAAGCATGAGACCACTTTTTTAATTTAAGTGCAATCCAATATCTACCTCAGACCCAAATACTCTTGTCCCACCTCCTTTTTGCCCCTTTTACGAGGCCCCGACATTGCTCACTCCATCCTCCCTCCCTCCCCTTCACCAGGCAGGGGCAGCAGGTTAGGGTGCAGGCTTGGGTCTTGAATTAAGGGATTTGGAGTGTGAGAGGGGCTCTGAGCTGATCTTGGGGCAGGCAGTTGGGGTACCAGAGGGAGTTCTAGGTACACGCTCTGGGAGGGTGTTTGGATGCAGGGGTGCTCTGGCAAGGGTTTCGGGTGCAGGAGGGGGTTCATTACTGGGGTAGGGTTTCAGGATGTGGGCTCCAACTGGGCACTGCTTACCTCAGGTGGCTCCTGGGTGCTGGTGCAGTAGGGCTAAGGCAGGCTCACTCCTGCCCTAGGCCTCCACCACTCCCAAAAGCAGCCAGCAAATCCCATCTCAAGTCCTGTTGTGCCCTCACTCTGCTCTGTGGAGAGAGAAGAGAGTGGGAGGGGGAGCACCCTGACATCAGCACCCTTCCTCTTCCTACCCTGTACTGCATAGTAAGCAGGAGGCTCCCAGGAGTGGGGGGAGGCAGCTCCAAGGCAAAGGGCAGGAGATGTTCAGCACTGGGGGAGGGACAGCTGAAGTGCCAGGGCTTGATAGCCTCCTGGTCAAACCATTCAGGATCACTTGTCAGAGGCTCCAAGATCTACTGAATGGTGACCACTGCCAAAGGATACAAAGAACTTTGAAGAGGGCTAGAGACCCAAGTAAGAGCAAAAGAGTGTGTCTCTGATGTAAAGATTATGCCTTAAATAAGAGCAGCTCTTTAGGGTAAGAATCTGCATGCAATAAGTTTCTTAGTAAACAAAACTGTTATACAGTACCATCAGGCCAGTGTAAAAAATTACTACCTGGGCAGAGCAACTACTGTGCATCTCTCACTGATAAAGGAAGCTTACTTGATAAGCTTTCCCCATGTAGAACTTTTACACAGCGAAAGTGATTTATTTGGGAGTTTTGATCCCATTTTGGGGATTGGTTTCCCGGGTGCTGAGCTCTAGAATTGTGTCCAGAGCGGACATGGTTCACTGTCTGCACTGCTCTGCAGAAGGAAAGTAACCACAACTCTGCGGCTTGTCTGGGGGGGAGACCAGAGGATCAGGTCCAGCAGGACAGAGTGGTGGGGCATAGGCATCAGTGACAATAGCACACTGGGGAACAATCCCAAAGGGGACTTCTGTGACCGCATCTCATCACACTATACATACATAATGCCTCCCTCCAATGGCTGATTCATGCCCTTAAATATTTTTCTTTTAGCTATGGCCCTCCCCAAAATAAATATTTCTAATTTTACCACTTAGTTGATTTTCAAATGCTATCTTGTGCTGCTATTATTTAAAAAGGTGATATAGTAGCTTGAATGAAGGATTATATGGACCCATTTTTTGGAGTGACACCAGATTAAATAACACACATCTCTGTATCTTGAAAGAATTCTGTAGCACTTAGTAATGCTGTACAGCCTATTATTTAAAAATCCTTCTTAGTATTTTAAGTGAGACAATGGCACGCTTAGGTGAAAAAAGAAAATTATGGAAATGCTAGCATTTCAAAGTGTATTTTAAATGTAGCAATTGAATTTCAGTTACACAAATCTGGAATAGGACTGTTTGCTTTAATCAGCAGCTCAAGATCTTAGATTCTTGTACTTAGCAATCACCCATTCTTCATTTCTCAAAAATTCTTCCGAATCAGTTAGCATTAAAATGTAATGCACATGAAGTCCTACTGAAATGCTAGGTTTTCTAGCATACATACTGACAAAATATGTTGATACCTCGAAAGCGGTTTCCTTCTAATTGATATTTTTACTATACCACCATCACAAATCAACTTCACAATTTATAGGGTGCATATTAGGGATGGTAAATTTAGATTGATCAACTAATTGAACAGTCGATGGAATTTGCATCGACTGCTCAATTAGTTGTCACTGCAAACCACTGAGGAATAGCTCAGTGGTTTGAGCATTGGCTGGCTAAACCTAGGGTTGTGAGCTCAATCCTTGAGGGAGCCATTTAGGGATCTGGGGCAAATATGTCAGGGATGGTGCTTGGTCCTGCCATGAGAGCAGGGGACTGGACTCAATGACCTCTCAAGGTCCTTTCCAGCTCTATGAGATAGGTATAAATGTAGGAAGAGTCCCTCTGGTTCTTGCTACATTTCAAAGGTGCAAGCACCACAGGGAGCATGGGGCCAACATGGGGCCAACCTGGGCGGCTTTGCTCCTGTCCCCCTGGTTTGCTGGGGGAGGGGAGGGGTCCAGCAGGGCCCAGCAAAGCTGCTGAACTCTATCCTCTACACAGGGATGAGAGTTGACATGCTCATTTACCAACAGACCCAGAGCTTGGAAGATAGCTTGGACCAGACTGATGCTGGCTCTCTCCTGGACCTCTGACCAGATATTGATCAGCCAGTTTTTGAGATAAAGTTAGACTCATGCATGTTGCTTTGACATCGTGCAGCTGTAATTCCTGAGTATCAATAGTGCACTCAGTATTTGAGTCTGGGTGGCACAGTAGAGAAGACCTTCTCTCAAACACTGCCTTGTATGAATGGCTAGAAGATGCTCCCAAGTACCAGGAGAAAACCCTATGGATTCCTGCAAACGCCACTGTCCATGAGGACAGGTGACTGGAGGAGCCTCAGCACCAGTGTAAGGCAGAAATGCTGAATAGAGAAAAGAACTGTGTAAATTTTAAGGCCCACTACTTGTAATGAATCTAAGTGGTATAATCTAGCGCTGTATTCTTGTCAAATGCTGGGAGGAATTGCAAATTATAAGAAAATGTGTGTAAAGAACATTAATGATGGAGAAACTGTTTAAATTGTGGTTTTCCAAAATGGAGTCCAAAACTCTATTTTGTATTTAGAACTTTGCAGAGTTGCTTTTGCAGTTGAGTATGGCATCAAATGTGCAGGTAGAATGTTTGAGTTTAAACCTTAAGCTACCTGACAGTTAACTTGGCATAAGTATGAATATGCATGAGCATTCATATCAGCCAATCAAATCATACCACACTGCAAGAGCATCTTTGTTATATCCAATCAATTTAAACCATCTGGTTAATGAATATGTATGAACCTACCATATATAAGGTGTGACCGAACGTTAGTTCGTGCTGGTTCCTGGACCTAGCTGGGGCCTGCAGCGTCGTGGGTTCGTCGGGTTAGAGCATCCTAGCCTGGGCTCTTTTCTAGGAAGAATACCTTAATGGTATTTGTCCTGTACAGCATCTCTTAGTATCGTAATGGTACTAGGTATCCTGGTGATACCGAACATCTTCATGGTGTTATAGTTTTCCTCATCGGGGTATATGACGGAAGGTCATGATTCCCACCCTTTTCAACTAATTCAGCCCCTTTTAGAGGTGGGATAACAGAAGGTTTGACCTCCTCTGTCTTAGATTAGGTTTAGTTAGATTAGTACCTTAGATAGACTAGATACCGTCATTGTGGTTGTCCGGCAGGCTGCGTCGGTGGATGCATATCGGCCGTCATCGAGTTTGTCCGGCGGGTGCGTCGGGATCTAGATAGGGTTTTGTTTTTAGGATAAGGTTAGTGTAGTACAGAGTCATCCATCGCCTGATCCTGCTGCACCGAAGTGCAGGAAGAGGATCCGGAGACCAGAGGCTTCACGGAAGGTGAACCGACCGTCACCGAACTCAACCGGCACTTCGAGGGATCACCTTGGCTGTTCCTCTCCTGCGGCTTCCAATTAGCCAAAGGATTGTAGGTCGCCAAGCGACAGGATCACCCAACAAGGGACGCTTGGAAGTTCCTCCCTGAAGGCTTTCAATTAGCCCAAAGGTCGTAGATCGCCTGCATCGCAATCAATCGGCTTCAGCGCCGCTGACTCTGTTGTAGGTATAGGGACCTTGAGGGACTTCCCCTCCTGGTTCATTTAATGTAAAGAGGGGACTGCCCCCTTGTGTGTTCATTAGAGGTATTGCTGTTAAAATTTCTGTTAAACAATATAGTCCTGTGGTTTCCAGTTTTAAACCAGACTTACGTTTTAATTTACGCGCCTTATAAACTAAGATCTGACACTCTCCGGTGAATAGATACGGAGTAGGGGGTCGTTACCTTAAGTACCATCCCTTGCGGATTGGTCAAGCTGTTAAATTAACCTTCGGAAGGTTGTCCTTAAGACATCCTTTCTAATTCTGTTGATATACAGGTAACA